AAAATTAAAATTTATAAAACTTCTAAAGTATAGTTATCATTTAAAAATCATCATTTCTTTTTTGTGTGTGTGGTTGGCTCTGCCCACCCTGGGGGAGGGGCTGGCACAGCATGTGGTGCTGGGGATGAACCGCAGACCCTGTGCTTGCCTAAGCTTCCCTGAGCAGACATGTTTGTTGGCTGGACTATCTCACCAGCCCCCATCATTTCTTTTTCTTTCTTTCTGGGTTTTTTTGGTTTGGAGGGTTTGGCTTTTTGAAATCAGATCTCACTATATAGTCCAGGCTGGCCTCGAACTTGTAGAGACCCTCCTACCTCAGCCTCTCAAGTCTTAGTATTGCAGATATGCACCACCATGCCCAGTTTTATCTGCCATTTCTATTTTAATGTGTCACATAAATTAGAATTTTACATTTACTAAAAGTGAATGCAGTTGGCCCTCCACATTCAGAAGTTCTACATCTAGAATTCCTCCAACTATAAATGGAAAATATTTGGAGAGGGAAAAAAAAAACCTTCATCCTTATTCCCTAAACAATAAAACATAACAATCCTTTACAGAGCATTTACATTGAATTAAATATTGGAAGTAATTTAGAAATGAATATATATGGAAGGATTATACAGGTTACACATCCATGTCATACCACTGTGTATAACATGTAACTGTGCCCCCGATACAGAACGCAACTGTTTTCACCTACAGTGCTCCTGGGTGCGGAAGTTCTTCTTGGAGACAGTTAGGGTTCTCTTCATCCAGTGGCAGGTCTCCATCCCCCCACGGCATGGGAAGCTCCAGGCTTGATATCTTCAACTTATCAATGGAAATCTCCGACAAAGTTGGTGTAAGAGCTGCCGCTGGAGGAGGTGTCGCAACTGGGGTAACTGCAGGTGTATTAACATGTGTGATGGCAGGCATAGCATTTCCGAATGATTTCTCTTTTTTAAAAGAAAAAAAAAGGGTAAGTCAATAAATAACTGTACAGAAAGGCAAAATATAGTGCTCAGAAAGTACATGATATTTTCACATAAAATAATGGCAATAATAGTAATATTAACAATGATGATAGAGATGATCATAATGAAAGAATTCCTAAAATAATTTAGCAAAGTGTAAGAAAATAACTTTGAAGGGCCAAGAATATAGCTCTGTGGCACAGCACCTGCCTGGAAAGCACAAGGTCCTTAGTTTAATTCCTGGTACTCAAAAAGAAGAAAAAGAAAAGCAAAGAACCTTGGAAAGACAGGAGTATTCATATTACCACATATGTAAAGTCACCTACACGTCTATTAAGCTACATGCTTTAAGAAGGGGCACCTGGGTTGACTGTGTTCCCCGAAAGTTCATGCACCGCTATTTGGAGGAAGAGCCTCGCAAGCTAATCCAGCCAGATGAGGATGTGAGGCCTGGGCCAAGCAGCAGCTCTATGAGAGGAGTCTCAGTGCACACACTCCTGTCCTATCACTGACAACAAACCAGCAAGGCTCTCCCCAGCGGCAGATCCTCAATCCTGGTCTTCCAAACTCCAGAACTGTGAGATATAAACTCTTTTCTGTACAAATTACCCAGGCTAGGGGTTGGGGACATGGCTCAGCGGCATGATGCCTGCCTGAAAAGTGCAAGGTCCTGAGTTTGATTCCTGGTACCAAAAGTATAAAA